TAGACATTTACTCATATGCGTGAAAATAATTGCGATGGGTATGAAATTCATATTATCGAGAGTATGAAAACTTACTTCTAGAAAATGTTTACCGGACCGAAAAATCGAAATTTCAAATCGCTAGGTTCCTTTACGATATTCTCAAAATTTTCGCTAGAATAGAAGTATTGCATAATTCTACTGAATAAAGTTTCTTAAATTTAGAATTACTCTCAATATACTAATATAATAATAACCGCAATTTTGTACATAGATTGCCAAAATACCACAAAGATACATGTCAGCTTGATCATTTTATCTAGTAAATATTTAATATTTTATACAAGTATTAAGTATTTATAGTAATGCAACTTTAATTATTTAGCATTTTACAATAAATATATAAAATCAATTCTAATTGTTTAACATTTTATAATAAATATATAAAATCAATTCTTTTCACGACAGTTTCTGCCTTATCTGCCGCTCATTATCAGTGCGAGTTGGCCGCTGCTCTTCTGCTTTCTGCTTTTCTGTCAAGCTATGAATCCCCCCCTAAGTGCAATCGTCTCTCACAATCGATCGTACAGAGCAGAAATGATTTGGAGGAGATCGACCCTCGGCCGACTTTTCAGACCGGTTATCCCACCCTCGCCGCAGAGCGGGGATTTCATTTCAAAACGTCGCACGTTCCGCCGCAAAGCGGTTTAATTCGTCCCCTTATTTTATGACGCTTGTAATTACGCGCATTAAAAGCGCGTAGACGCCGATTCACCGGGGCCATCCCGGTGTCGTCGGGAGCTCGTTGGGCTCTGATTAATATTCCCCGCTGTTTATTTCCCGCGCACCGACGCGCTACTTTACCGCTTTTCCGGAAACGATCGATCGCATCGTCGTTGGTCTCGTTCGCGCTCTCGTCGTTCGCCGCGCGATATTTCGAACATCCTCGCCGCTACGGTGCTTCCAAGACATCGGCATTGTCGTTCCCCGGGAAATCCGCCGCCCGCCGTCGTCGGTTCGGACGAACGAGACGAACGAGACGGACGAGGGTATTAACGACGGACGCGCGTAATGCACTGTCAAGTCTCGCGAAGCGGTCCCGTCGTTCGCGTCGCCGCGTTCGCGTCGGCAAAGCGGATCAAATAAGAGCGAGAGGGAGAGAGAGAGACGGCGGAAACTTGCGGAGTTTCCGGTGTATGTACACAGTCGGTATAAAACTCAAATTCCTCGGTCAACTTTGGACTCGGTCGACGGACGAGCTCGCTCGCGCGACGTCTCGTAGCCCGGAAACTCCTGGCCGAAACTTTCCGCTGTATCCGCCGATTCAGAAGTCCGCGGCCGTGCGACAGTCTGTCGGGTAATGTCTTTACGTCGAAGTGACTATGCAATCTACGAGAGCGAGCGACGGAGATCAGTTCGACGTACGGGCGTACCTCCTCTCCCCTATTCATCCCCCTCCCCCTTTTCTCTCTTTGTTTCTCTCCTGCTGCTATGCTTCTTCTTCTTCTTTCTTTCTCTGTTCGAAATCGCATTCTTCGGCTAACTTTCGAACGGTCTTCACCTAGGCGGAATCCTGATTCCGGAAATCATGGCCGAGATATTTCCGAAATTGCACCAAGATACCAATCCACGGTTAAGTTTCGGCGGAGGTGACTTCGGTTTTCAAGGAGAAGTGTTCGCAGTCTGTTTGAAAGACACGGGGAAAATAAATTCTGTTAGAACAGCAAATGTTTGTCAATATAGTGACAGCAAAGGAAATTTTTCCGGACGGCGGAAAGATTTAAAAGTGTTAATTGTCCAGTATATATCCAGTAAATAACAATTGAATAAAGTTTCATCCACTTAGATGCACAAAGGATTTCGACTTTTTTCACATATTTAGCTGCTCGTCCAAGCGACATTTTCAGCTCTTTCCGGGGCAGACAAAAGAACACCGTTTCGAAGCATGCGCGGCATTCATTTTGAAAAATGTCTACAAGAATAACCGGGCTGCTACGGTGGCTTTCAATAGACTGTATCGTAAAGGGGGGGGGNGGGGGGGGGGAGGGGACTGGGACGAGGGAAGGTCACCCAATTTATCCGTTTTTCGGAGATATTCCTGGTAAACCAACTTTGGTGCCAGGTCTTTTGCCGCGTTCACGCTTATTTTAAACGGATCATGCTCGGAACCGCGAAGATATAATCAGCGATCGAGTTTCGCCAGGGGTGGAAATAATTTCGGTTGTCAGCAGGAACCTTGTATCCCGACCGTCAAATTTAGCGCGCTGCAATTACACTCCAATTACGCGCAACCGTTCGTCAATATTGATCACAGTCAATATTAGATTCATTTACCTGAGACGTGCGTCGCGTCTTTTCGCGCGTATCAGTCTCGTTGAGGGGAATCTCATCTTATCCTATCTTATAAAGAGATTACCGTTTAGATCCCGCACAACGGTAGAACGGCTTCTCCGCGAACTCTCGTAGTTCTCGCAGGCTATCAACCTTCCCGAATCTCGATGTGGTGCTTCAATATTACCATACGCAGCGCAAACGATCGGAAGGAGAGACCTACGGGNACGGTACCTACTTGCTGCGACTTGCCGGCGTAAGTTATACATCAGCCGCCTATCTGCCGTCGCAGCTGCACAAACCTCGATATTCATTACTACCCAAGACGGGGAGAGATCCTCGCGCGAAGGCTCGTGCGCGCGCGCGCGCGCTGCAGGACGTCGACAGAGGCCGGTTTCTCCGCCTCGGGCGGGTAGGACGACCGTCACCGTCAGACCTCTGCGGCGGTCTGATCGGAGGTTTACGACTTGCCCGGGATACTACCTGCGCCTGGTGATAATGGACGCCCCGCGTATAATCCGGGATAATCTGTGGCATGCTTAATGACCGCGCAGGACTGTCGCCGACGAGTCGTAGGACGAGCGGAGTCGCGAGCGCTCCGCCGTAATTTATTTATTACGTTCCTTCTGAGAGCGAGATCGCGGGGAACTTGGCACTCTCGTAACGCCCCCAGCTCTCTCTCGGATCCGCAGGATCCGAGGGGAGGACGGCCAGCGGCCAGACGTCTCGCCGGATAGTTTACATTTCCTCCGATTACATCCCCTCTTCCCCCCCGCCCCCGTACGGCTCGTTACTCGGCGCGTTCGTTCGCAGATTTGCCCGAGTTGACTCGAATCTTTCTGGAGCGCCGCTCCTCCGACTCGCTACTGTGGTGTCAACCCTCCCCCGGCAACGTTCAAAATTCGACGCCCTTATTTTCAGACGTTCGAATAATTCAACTTTTTGGAGCCAGCGTCGTTGTATTATTTTTTCCGAGATACATATCTTCGAATGTTATAGTCCCAAAGGATTGTTCTCGCTCGTTTTTACACTCGTGTAAAAGTCACTTTTCACTGAAATCTCGTTTGTCCAGTATTCCCGCTCCGATTCCCCGATCTGCGAAAATTAGGTAAGAAAATTGCGGCTTCTACGATAGTGAAAATTCGGAATTGAAGTGTTCACAAGTGTACGAGAATTTTCTCGGATTTTTATACAGTCCGGAGCAACCACACGGTATGAGAACCCGCACCGGTTGTCAAAGTCCCAGGTTGCTGGCGGAGGGTTAAACACCTCGAGCCCCCTCGTGAGACCACAGCACCGATACCGTCCCCGAGGAGGAGGAGGAGAAGGGTTTCTCGCGGGCTTCTCGTCGAAAACGCTGACACTTCTATCGGGTCACCTTTTCCTCCGGCCGAGCGAAGTCGGAAACCGCGCGCTGAAGAACGCCTCGCATTTGAATCGACGAGGAGGACGACGTAAGCGAGATAAAGAGATTAAAATGTTCATCGAAGCAGCAGCAGCAGCGAGGATGGAAGGAGAGAAAAGGCATGAGATATGAAACCCGGGAAGGGCCCGTCCACCCGCATAATCAAGTTATCTTGGCGACGCATCGCACATTAATCACAACTATCAATGACAGCCTCATCCTCTCTCTCTCCCTCCGGTTGGCCTCTTTGCTCCTCCACCGCCGCAACCGCCACCGCGAGGACGCGTCCCTCCGACCTGCCTCCGCTTCTTCTTCTTCCGCCCACCGGGTAGCCGACAGTTCGGTCAGAACGCGTCCTACGTTTCGCCGATCCACCGTCATCGGAATTAATGATTCTGCGAGAAATGGAGTCCCGTTGCTGTCTCCGGTCGAGCGGCGCGAGCAAAAAGTACATTTGCTCGGCCGCTCGCTCGCCAGCCCGCGGGGATTTCGAGACGGGACGGAAACTGCGACGATGACGTCTCGAAATTGGCGACGTGACAGGTTAATAAGCCGCGACAAGCGGCGCGCCTCTTGCTCGCGAGCTCGTGAGAGAGGTGTTTTATCAATTCATGCCGAAGTCAACGACGAACCTGATAAGCGCCGATAACGTAGAGACGATCCTTATGATTTTATGTCACCGACCACGCGATCACGCTACTCTTTTTATACTTCTCCTACATGTATCGATCTTACGTAAATGCGATATAAATGTGACCGCGATGAGTGTGCGATACACTCTACTTCACCGTATTTAACGGAAAATTTAATCGGGTCATATATAAATTTTTCTGCGAACTTTTCACGTATCTCTTTGGACTTCTTAATTTCACGGGAAAGATAGAAAAGTATTTCTTGAAATTCTTCCTTAGCATTGGCACACTCGATACTTACAAGTTGCAGGGTTTTTCTGCCAGGTAAATATTTACACTGGCAGCTGGAGATCCCGGATAATATTGAAACGTATTTTCGATAATAAGACCTGTTAAGGATGTCTCCGAAGCATCTTTTAGACACACGTATTGTTTGGGATGTCACTGTCATTGTTGGGGTGTAGAAGCATTTATAATCTTGTGGAACCGAGAAACGTGAACTTTGTAGGAAAAAAATCAGTATTCTGTCAGTAAAGCTTTTCAAATACATTTCCTTAACCTCTTGACTGACAGAAACGCAATACTGTGTTTAAATAAAACATTCCAAATTTACTTTGATATTTCTGGCAGTTCATTATTTCTAAAATGAGGTATTCAAAGGTTTTCTGGGGTCGTTCCATTCAATAGTGAACACCGAAATATAAGTATGCTGAAAAGGTGCTGCCATGTAACGCCTGTGGACGGAAAGCGTGCGTGAGATAGAAAATCAGAACAGCCTATCTCTTACTTATTTACATATATACCTACCTGTCTCTTTCGAAACAGAGTAACGCATATGCGTACGACAAAGAGAGGATGCCCTAAAATTGGTCTCGCTGCTTCACTTTTCGAGGCCCAGTACCTCTTTCACTATAGATATGTTTCAGTGATGGTGAACTTCTCACAATCCAAAATTCAAAGTGGTAGATGTAATACGGCCGACCTAAAATTGAAAAAGTCCTACACGGTGAACCGGGGGCGTTCGTCATTGGGAACGCACCGGGTCGGGTGTGACGATAATCTCACCGATGAAAGAACCAACGTACACGCGAATCAGAAATGAATACCGCGCTTTTTTATGCGGCGGTGACTTTGAAATTACGGGGGAGCTTTTAACTGCCGTCTCGTGTCGCGTGTATTTTTAATTTAGCGGCGCGTTAGTACTAAATGAAGTTATTTCGCCCGACTTTTCTCTCTCTCTCTCTCTCTCTCTCTCTCTCGCTCACCCCCACCGTTGTCTCCCTCTATTTTATTAAAAATGTTGTCCGCACGGAACGTCAAACGACTCTCTGGGGCGGCTGTCGTGGTTGAAAAAAAAGGGAAAGAATTGAATGACGCCGTACAGTGGGCGACCTCAGATCACCGCGCATCGCGCTAAGCAACACCGAATTAATTCCGGCCTCTCCACTCGGCGACCGTGTCGATCGTTCCCAAGTTTATCAACGGACTTAACTAACTAACGGACGAATAAGCGGGGCATTCAGGAAGTAGCTAAACGAGAGCGCTGATTGCGCTCGCTGATTGAGCTCGCCGCGCGTGCGAGGAGAATGAATGCGCGGCGGCCGCGTTGAGGTAGCAAGTTCGCGCGGTGATTCAATTTTTTTCACCTCGATCTACCGCGCCGGACGCGGGCGACTCTTTGGCGGCGTTTTGTGCAAATAACATTTTTAATAAGAGAGAAAAAGAGGCGGGATGTCGGTCGAGTGAACAATTAGCACTCTTGTGTTTTCCCATCGTCGTCCGTCTCTCTTCCGCTCCCTCCCCTCACCTCTCTCTCTCTCTCTCTCTCTCTTTCTTTGTTTCTCTCTCACGCGCGCGCTTTACTTGATTTTCTTTTTGTTTGCCGTTCACTTCGCACTTCCACGTTGAGCAAGTAAAGGTGTGCGAGCGCGATGAATTACTCAGCGAAGGCTCGCGAGCCGCACCTGCTGATTCCCTGACGAGATGCACCATCAATCATATCAACGCTTTATCCTTTTGTTTAGCGACTCGGCTCGAGTCTCTCACGATGGAACAAATTCCGGCGAGTTAGAGCATTTTGTAACATGAATATACCGTCGGAACTCGCGCGATGCTTTACACTCGAGTAATGCTTCATGCTACTAATTCCGGCGAGATAACAGATCGCGAGCGAGTCGCTCACGATGGCGAGACGGGATTTTTGTTTCTCGATATATCGGTAGTTTATATATATATATAATGAAACTCGATTGATTCGAAATCGCCAAGTTTCCACCGGAACGATGAAACTCGACAGCTTGCCGATAGACGATATAAGGTAATCGGTAATAACGAGCATTATTTCGATCACTAAAACACACCTTCCATTGATGAAATAAATCTTGATTTTTGCTAACGAAAAAGAGCACCGAATCAACTTACGTGTCAAATATTTTGCCATTATCCCGCTCCGCTCCGTTTATTGCGAGAGCGCATACTTCTCGATTTGCAGCGTAATCGTACGAAAAAGGACACCACCGTGCTTTCGGCGAACTCTACTTTTCCATTAATGCGAATCGGTAACCGATAATCGATGCTGCGGTTCGCGCAAAAGTGTCGCGCTTCCACGTCGACCTCGCGCGCGAGTCCGAGGGGAAGCCTAAATATCGCGGAACGTCCCGGGTTTCGAATTTCACGTCTCGAGGTAAGACTCGACGGCAGCCGGTCCAATCCGCCGGATAATCCTTTAGAATGGCCCGCGATGTCCCGGAGCCGCGATCCTCTGACTTCCGTGACGCCGGTATCGCCGGTTCTCAACCGCGCTTACCGAAGGAGCCGCCGCTCCTTCCCTCGTGGATTGTTTTATGGCCTTAAACTATCCCCCCGTATTTCATCCCCGTGTCTCAAGAACGGATATTGAATGCCCTCTATCTAGAGGGGCGATCGCGTGACGTTTATATTTTATTGGGAAAGAACCGCGCCGTGCGCCGATCGATCTTATCGACCCTTCGGTCCTTCGAGTTCGAACGAATCATTCGAGTCCGACCGTCGGAATACGCATCACGTGGTACGATTATTGGTCTGACTATTGGCCGATTCTCAGTGATAACACTTTAGAGAATGCGGGAGTGCGTGGTTTTTAACCGTACTTCTGTTTTTTCCACGCGTGACATTGGCAATTGCAGAGGCGCGGTCGACTCCGAGAAACTGCCGGGCGAAAGTACGCGATTCCCGGCTCGCTTCGCACAAGGAGACCTGTCGAGGGACAGGTATATTTTATAAGGCAACGCCGAGTGCTTTCTGGGTCGGAGAGGGTATTTATATGCTTCGGGCGATTTTTGAGCAACAGGGGGCGAAATTTATCGGAGGTCCGGTTCCGGCTTCTCTCCCGACGACTCCCAACGACGTCCTCGGCGGGCGCTCGATGCGCTACCGCGGGAGCGAAAATCGATTTTTATGCCGGCACGATGAAGAAGGTGTTCGCGGACCTTCTCGCGCGCCCCGAGCAATTTCCTCGGGAGAATTCATTGGCCGTTCTTACGGAAGTCCACCTGGGACCGTGCGTTTATGCAGGCCTGACTTCTAAATGCGGTCGTAAACTAGGACCGCTCGCCCGCCGCGAAAAGCTGAAAGAATCTGTCCGTGCGTGTGTCTGCCGTGCACATTATTATCGTTCCTCGCCAAGAAAGCGAGGATAAGAGGAGAGAGATCGAACGAGCTGCTCGCTCGTTGCGCGCCGTTGTTACCTCCAGCGACATTCCCGACAAATCATTTTCTCGTTACCGGACTCGAGCTACGGAAAACCGCAAATTTCTTACCTTCTCGCGCGCCGTTTTAACGCTGCCGCTGCCAGCCTCGCGTTCAGCCGGTACGTAGACTTCCGAAACAACGCTCTATGTTAATTATACCACGTTATCCCAATGTTTATTCAATCTACGTTTACTTTATCACGCAGAAAAAAAGCGCCAGAATCAATTAAACGTAATTATTTATTTTTCTGCCTCTTAAATCATGGGAGATTTTTATCAGTTTAAATATATTTTTATAGCTCTTGGAGCAAACTTACCTGAACGCAGCGATGCTTCGATTTGTGAATTGTCGAATATAAATGTAAAATAGTTCTAAATTTAAGAGGGTATTTACTTGAATTATGTAACACTCCTTTTCCATTGAAAGAACCTAGCGGCTTTAAATTTGGATTTCCCCGTCCGGTAAATATTTTCCGAAGGTAAACCCTGATAGTCTTTCAATATTATGAATTTAATATTTGTCGCAATTATTTTAATATGTACAAACGTTCACCTATACGAAGGAAGTATTATATATAATCAATTATATTTCTTCCCCTAGTAAATATTTACCAAAGAATGTTGGCGTAACCATTTCACGTAGATCAAATGAATAAATTAAAGATAAAGAAAAATATGATTTCGAACGGTAGCACTTTTTCTTCAACGCAGATATTTTATCAGCGATAATACGCGTACACTTTTCCATTCAATTTTCACACTTGAAAGTTATTTGAAATTAATCATTTCTTAATGGACAATTCTTTCGCGATGCACGAGCGTGGAAAAATAATATACACGATATTTTTTTCTTTTTTACCAGTGTCGGGCTTTCTATTCAACGATCACTTTTATTCCGGACAACGGGGGAAACAATAAATACAAAAGAGTACGCGTGTGTGCGCGTGGAGAGAGATATTCGGTTGAATATTAATTTTTATACCTACCAATATAATTTCGCATCACACCAAATTCACGATGGACCGTCGTGATTGGGCACGGAGATACAGTTCCCGCATTCGCGTGTTTTGCGACAAATTGGCGGCCCGCATCCCGGCTGAGTCGCGTATTGTGTTTCGATAATGCCGCCTGCGCGTCATATTTGATTCCTTTTCGCGGCCGGCCCAACGGTCGGCAGGCGCCGGACCGTAAGTGGGCTGGAAGGTGAACAAATTTATATCGCGCATCGGTACATACTGCGTACGCGCGTTCGCCACGTGCACACATTTTTCATTCCGCGCCATTTGTGCCCGCCTGAAATTCGCCGGCAATTGTAAATTTTTTCGCGCGCGACCCAAGAAAAATACAGCTCGCACGCGATCTTGGCTGACACCGCCGCCGCGCGCGCTCGATTGTACCACCGCGCGGTGTGGTTGTCTATTCACTGCGGCGAATTCCGTCCGATAGAATCGCCCGACAATTCCTCATCCGATGAGTCCGGAGTTGGAGATATCGACGCGATATCAGTAGAAGCGGCTAAAATTATAAACACATGTAACTGATATTGCAAAAAGTTCTCTTTATCTGTCTGCAATGTTAATTAAGCGTTTGTCGCATTTTCGATGCTAATGGCTGTTCAACAATTACGTCACACCACGAGAGGAGAGTAAAGGCTGTGGAATGTCATATTAAATGGCGTAACTTGGAATTATGGGTACGCGTGTTTATCCACTTTGTTTACATTCGTGACACTTTGGTTACATTTAGCGTACATTAGCGCATTTTTATGTTTTGACATGGTTTTTAGTTAACAATCAAAATGTTGATTTTTAAATATTTATTCTTTGAAAAATACGAGTTTTACTAATCAAAATTATAAAATACAGTAGTTTATTTTTCATATTATATGTAAATAATACACACACACACACACACACACACATATATATATTGTATTGGCGTTTTTACGCAATCGCAGTTTGACTTGATTTCTCAGATATTCGAGATTCGTTCCTCCGGCTTTAGGATTAATAATAGCTATGTAGCGCGGACCATATGACCGAGCGAGGAAACTTTTTCCGCACATTCGGCACACGTATACGAGCAAAAAGTTCCGCGCTGTCCTTTGACCGAACTGATTTCTTTGCTGCGGTCGGAGGGAGAATTCCGACACTGGCCGAACTTTCCGGCTGGCGAAAGGAGTGTCGTGCTAGAAAATAAGTGGCCGTTCTACGAGAGAATTCTGATGAACCTAGAACGCCCTTTGATGTGCGGCCGGCATACCTATGAGCGAGCACTGGTATCCTGATGCTGTTCGATGAATTTCGCTCACCTCGCTGGATCAAAGAACCGAGACCGGCCGGGATGCTTGCTTAGGTTAAAAGAGAAACGGGTCAGGAGTCGAACACGGTTGCTTTATCGAGCGTCAAGATCGGCCAAGTTCGAAAAGTATCTCTGGAATAGCGAAGAGCGCGAATCTCCCGCGCCCTTTCATTTGCGAGTTTAGACGAAAGCTCTCAGGAATGAATGGTGTGAACTATCGGCGATCAGCGCAAAATATTTCGTCGTACAAAGTAAAAAATTGCGTTAAAAACGGCCTAAACTGAAATTTTCTATTATTTTAACATAAGAGGAGGATATATTAAAAGACACACAAATATAATGTTAAATTAAAGCATTCATCTTCTCGATAATATTCAGCAACAATATTTCCTAGAAATATATCCGGATGTGAACGACTCGTTCCGAAATATCTTTCTGACAATCTGCGGTAGTAAGATTGAAAAATTGGAATTCTTTTTAATCCTGCAGCGGTCGGCGCGGATGACAGGTATCATTCATGCGTATACTAAAATATATTTCCCGAAAAATACTAACAAACATCCATCCTGCGCCTTTGTGTATTTGTCAGTCAGAGATTGCTGTCGTCTTTTGTGATGTTTTATGTGATTGTTATTCCCATATGAATAAATGTATTTCCTAAGAAGTTACTCAATACGTCACATGAAGTTTGAATATTTTTTTCTCTTCCTCCTTTTCGTCACATTTCGTCACAAAATATTTGGAACCTCCTTCCAATATTACGTGACAACTGTGGAATTATCCCTCCCTCCTCTCTCTCTCTCTCCCCTTTCCAACACATAAAATAAGAAAAAATAGCTTATAATATTGTGCGTAATAATTGTTAGACTGTACGTTATTATCTTTTTCTAAGATAATTTTTAGGTACATCTGTATTTTATAATTTCGATTGGTATAATTTGTGGTTTTAAAAGAACAAATATTTAAAAATCAACCTTTTGATTGTTGACACAAAATCATGCCAAAGCATAAAAATGTTCGCTAAATGTAATCAAATGTGTCTCGAATGCAAACAAAGTGGATAACCCACGCGTAACCCATAGTTACAAGTTATGCCATTTAATGTGACATTCCGCAGCCTTTACTCCCCCTCTCGTGGTGTGACGTAATTGTTGAATGGCCACTGAAGCGATTTTTTAATTGAAAATATCAATTTAAAGTGGAGGACGTTCGTCATCCGCGCGACCACTTCGGGGCTAATGGGTCATAAGTGTATCACTGCAAACTGCAGCGAAGCGTTTCAATCTTTCAGCGTACGATCGGGCACATTTATCACCGATCCTACCGTTTCCCGTCGTTCCTTCCCGTGGCGTATCGCGCACCCACGCGGAACTCGCGGTGAAATTTATGCAAAATTCAGAAGTTACCCCCGAAATCTGCGAGAAGCGCGTCGTCGTCGTCGGGAACTCACCAGTATGCGGGCGTGTCTTGCGCGTGTCACATTATATGTAGCTTTGTATTACACGAACGTCGTATAAATACACGCCAACTTCGCGAGTTTGCGCGTATGGACGTGTGAAATACACATACATACACACACACACACACGTACGCCGTACACACGGACGAATGCGGGATATAGTGTACATACGTACATACATACATACATNAAATAATGGAGGAAAGTGATTTCCGGAAAGTTAAAAGCCACGGATCAAGGATACCTTTTGCTCCCGGCCCCTTCTCTCCCGGTCCCGCTACTTTTCCGATCTTCCGTGTTGTGCCCTGAGTAAAAGAAAAATGGATAAGGCGGTCGCGCGCGCGCGACGGCGCGGGTAAATCGCATTTCGTAGCGCGCGATCCGCCTCGAGAGACCTCTTTCACGATGAAACGAGGAATGGCGCCGATATACTTTATGCTAAGACCCATTTTATTCTCTTTGGCGCGTGTACCGTTTCCTCGATGAAATGACGTCTCGATAACATCGCGTTTTTAGGATTTCGCTCGATTCTGGGATATGTATCGCGCGCATTACGTGCGTCGTGCGTATTATATCGGGAGAAACGGAGAAGCGGATTCCTCGGCCGCGAGACGAGATTGCTCGTCAGAGAATTATAGTCATCAGAGAATGACACAGGTTGACGTGAATTTTGACCCGCTGCAAGTGATCCTGCAAGTGACAAAATGAAAGTAATAAAGAGAGAGAGAGAGAGAGAGAGAGACTCGAGAAATGCCGAACGAGAAAAAAGCGCGATTTCGAAGCTTGTCATACGTATTACGCGCTTAGCTGTAAAATATTAACTGCGAGCCAAATTGTTTTGCCGCAGCTTGTTAAAGTCATCTGTTTTTTCTCACTGGTCAAAGGATAATCCTATAGACTGAATTTGCAACGGTTCACGGTTCGACGTATGCGAATTATCGCGTGCGCGTCGACCGGCTGCGATCGGCAACAGCGTGTATGTTCGTTATAATAAAAATGGAAAAAAGGGACGGGGGAAATATGGCGCTGCAAATTCGTTGGTAAAAACGTTAATGAATGTTGCGAGAGAGCATCGACGACGGCGTGCGGTTGTCATCACGTCGCTGCGACCATATGAAATTGCGGATATTTTTGCGCGCTCACTTCTCGGCGCGCGCCCACACACGTTGGGAATATAAAAATGAAACGTATATTGTAAAAGCGAAATAAGTTTATATGAAAATGCAAACGACAGCGATGCATATGTAAAAGCTGCTATACACGCGCGTCGAAATTATCTAATCAAATATTTATCAAAGGGAAATTGCACGTGCACGAACAGCCGCCTAATTAAACGGAATAATTTTTAACGTAATACCGTTGTAATATTGTCTGAACATTGTTGCAAGGTTGTATCGTCTCTTGTACGAATATTTTAAATTGAAAGAGAAAGAGAGAGAGAGAGAGAGAGAGAGAGAAGAATAAACGTGATTAATTAATATTATTCATACTTCGTTTCTACGTTAGATATCTTAATATTACTCTCCATATATATTTAAAATTCCAAGAAGGAACTTGGAAAAATGAGATCACAAAGCGTATCGAGAAATTCCGAAGTCATAAAGTTTCTTCCGCGCAGCGCAGCAGAGTTGCCACTTTCCTTACCCTGGCATTTTTACACGCGGCATGAACGGAGGGAGAATTGTGTTAGAAAGAAACTACGATTCCAAAAATATGAATTTGACCTGGAAATGACCTCGAATTGACTACGCAACGAAGTTGAGGTCGTCAACTTGTGCTCCCCTCCTACAACTTTTGTCTGAGTCATCTCTTCGTCAATTCCTCCCTTTTCAAGATACTTCACCGGTTCCTGTTAAAATCACACGCCCATTAATAATATATAATCAACGATTTCACATACCCGGAAACGTCGCTTCGGCATCGCAATGCGCCATTTAACGCAGGTAATTCGCGGCTGATCGTTTATCGTAATTCACTTACGCTCGAAGCTCGCGTCGTCGCACGGCGATCTTTGTCTCGGCTGCATCCGTGGCCTCGTCAGTCAGTCGACTCACGCATCGATCTGCTGTAATCGCGACAGCTTGCAACGTGGAAGTTAGGACCGCTGCAAAATGCATCCGACCGATGTACAACGCGCGCGCACACGCAGTACCGCGCGTGTACGCTCGTGTCGTACTTTATATCGCGCTTACGCACACATAGTCACGGCCTCGCGTGGCCGTATATCGCGGCGGGATCGATATCGTAGATTCGCGAAACTTTCCGGCGCGCGATCCATATTTGCCAGGTGTTCATCGAATAGCGGCTATAGGAGGAAGAAACGCGAAATGAAAGGCTTGGGGCAATAACACGCTAAAGCCACACACAGCACGAATTCGATGTGCACGCGCGTAAAAATAGCCGTGAATCGATATCCGCGGGCGAGAGAATGTAAAAAGAGCCTCTCTCTTTCTGTCAATTTCCCAGTCGACCCGCGAAGGCGCGACTATTCGGCCTGAATTATGCACGCGCGTGCATCACTCCTCG